CGGGAGTAGAAAGCCTCATCTTTCTCCCGCGGAGCCGCTGGTAGTTTCGAACCGCTGACCTTAAGGTTCGCAGCCCGATTCGTAACCACTACTATGGCCTATCATAATATTCCATACATACTTAGAACCAAGCAAAGGGTGGAGTTCCATCTTTAAAAACTAAACAGGCATTTTGGACAACACATTCTTGACAAAGGAACCTGGACAACATTTATCAGACATGGTAGGGAAAGTTCTCACTCTGCATTATAGAAAAGGACAGCCAGATATCAACTGTTACAGAAATGAATTAAGATGGAAAATTTTAACACTGTTTAAACTGTTTTCTTAAAGAGATTTACTGCCAGAGATCTTGAATAGCCTCTTGGTCTGTCATCCGGAAACAATTCTTCACATAATTGATGAATTTGGCTTCCACCTTAGGAAGGGAACCACCTTTTTCTATACTTGCTTGCATGTTTGCTTTAATATCTTCTACAGAACTAGGTCCTTTCGGTGTTGTAGGTGTTTTTTCCTGTTTTTTGAAGGATTCTTGACCTTTTAATCTTGATATTGATGGGTTTGAGTCTTTTCCATTCTGGTTTGATTTTTGTGCATTTTTAGCTGGCGTGTCCCGTATAGATTTCTTGACTGGAACTTTTTCTTCAGTTTCATCATCATCAAAATCATCATTATCATCGTCATCATCTTCCTCTGCAGCAAGCTTTACTTTTTTCTGTGGAACCTTGTTAGCACTTGCAGAGGCAGACCGCTTTCCTGACATACTTAAGAGTTTCACTTCTTCTTCCTCTTTATCATCTGACTCTGCATCTCCCTCCACAGCTACTAAGTGCTGTCCACTAATATGTACAGGCCCTGAGCCACACTTCAACCGTAAGACCACTGGTGGCGTTATTTCAAAGCCGCCAAGGGAGACCATTGGGTGTACAGACATTTTCAAAGTAGCCAGTGTGACTTTAATTGGGCTACCTTCATTTTCATTGCTTCTGCTTCAACAATGTGCAGTTCATCTTTGGCACCAGCTCCTAAGCTGACCGTTCTTAATGATAACTGGTGCTCATTTTCATCATTATCCACCTTAAAGTGATAATCTTTATCGGCTTTTAGTTCACAACCGAAGAGATAGTTTTGGGGCCTCAGAGGGCTCATGTCCATATCCATCGAATCCTCCAGGGGGCGATGGTGCGCACTTAGGTGATAGAGAAGAAGGGCGGAGATAACGGGCGGAGATAACTGGGTTGCTGCTACTGAAAACAGCAGCGCAGGATGGAATCACACCAGGGATAGATTATTTCTTTTATCAAGAAAACCCTTTCTTAACTTTTTACAACAGTGGTATAATACAGTTTGTCCTTTTGTGAGTAACTACTATCACTCAGCAAAATGTTCTCCAGATTCATCTATGTTGAGAGGTGTTTTACAGATACATCAGTTATGCTTCAACCTTGCAACCATTGTGTGTATGTGCCAAAGTTTGTTTAACCATTCTTCTGTTAATGGGCCTTTAGGCTATCTCTTTTTGAGTGTTTGTTGTAGACAGCATATTGACGGATCCTGTTTTCTTATCCATTCTGTCCTCTCTCTTGACCGATGCATTTAGTGGATTTACATTCTGTGTAATTATCTGTTGGTATGAGCTCTGGTAGCGTAGTGGTTACGAATCGGGCTGCGAACCTTAAGGTCAGCGGTTTGAAACTACCAGCCGCTCCGCGGGAGAAAGATGAGGCTTTCACGTAATTTTCTGTACTGAGTTCATTTTGTTTGTGGGTTTCCTTTTCAATTCTGTTGTGTTAATGTTTATTAAATCCTTCTGATTTCCTTTTTTAATTTTAATGTGACGATGTATTTTCTTTGCGGTTGCCCTGTATTTTATTCATTTCCCCCCATTTAAAACTTTTATCTTGAAATTTACTTGACTTCCTTGCCATTGGGAAGTTCTATATCTACACTATTCCCTCTTTTTGCTTTGTAGTTCACTTCATTATAAATTGATATCCCTGGCTTCCTATTTTCAGTCTTGTAGGTTTATTTTATTTTAAATACTTCCGTAACTGGATTGGGAATCATGATGTGGCACTGTAAAATAAGAACTGGACTACAACGTCAGTTTGAACCGCAAGGAAACCCTGTTCAGGGTCATTATGAGTTGGAACCAACTGACAACTCATGTGAATTAAGTTCTGTGTGATGGTCTCATGTATGTTAATTTCAGGTTGTTGTCTGTTCTCAGAGCAGAGAGAGTATCTTTTAGCATTTTTTGTAAAGTTGGTCTACTTCTTACCAACTCCTTTAATCTCTGTTTATCTGGAAATGCCTTAATTTTGCTGCTATATTTGAAGGACAGCTCTGCTGGGCATATGATTATTGATTGGTAATATTTTTCTTTCACAGCTTTGTATATGTGATCCCATTGCCTTGTCAGGCACTTTGTTAAGGAAGTCTTCCTTCCCTCATACATTCTTTTTCTCTCTTGCTGCTGTGGGACAAAGCACTGAACTGCAAGGTCAGCAGTTCAAATTTACCAGTTTCTGCTTGGAAATCCTATATAGGGTCTCTGAGTCAGAAACGACTTGATAGCACACAACAACAGCCCCACTATAGGTCCCCACAACCCTAGTGCTCTCTGTATTGTGGGTTCAACCAACATTTGTTAAATGAAAATGTACAGGTTGTCTTTTCAGAAGTCACAAGATTCTGTGTCTCTCTGCCTGGAATGCCCTCCCCTTCATTCATTTACTGAAGTTTATTTCAACATTTAGGGCTTATTAGATGTCAACACTTTCTTACAGAGCTCAAGGGTCACCTCTTCCAGAGTTCTTCTCCTCCTCAAGTTCATTGTGCACCTACGTCAATCTCTTAGCCCCTAGGCCAAGAGGGTTGCTTGACCATAGGAATCACACCTGATTCATCTGTCTTGCCCTCACCTGGCAATTCCTGCTACCAAGACCAGGCTCAGATAGTATTTTTAGAAGGTACCATCTACCTATGAGATCTACCTCTGGAACACACAGGTACTCTCTGCCACTCACTATTAGGTTTCTAGTTAGTAGAATGGATTGACTGAAAAAAATCCAGTAAGAGACTCTGAAGTACCTGGCTGAGTTGCCAGGAAAATCATTCTCGCTTCAATCTCAGGGGAGAAGCAGAGCAGTACAGATCCTTTAATACCTGGTACCTGTAACTCTGTGCAACTCTGGTGTGGTGCTATAGGATACACACTGGATTGCTAGCCACAAGGCGGGTTCAAACCCACCAGCCAGTCCTCGGAAACCATATACAGGGTCACAGGGTCGCTAGGAGTAGGAACCAACTGGATGGCACATAACCTGTAACTCCAAGTGTCTGAACTAAGTGGGGAATTTACAGTAGGTAAACAACCTGTTGTTAGGTGCCTCTGTGTCTGCTCCGACTCACAATCCCAACAATATGAAACGGTGTCTGGTCTTACAACATCCTCACAATCGTTGATTATAGCCATTGTGTCAATTCATCTTGAGGTTCTCCCTTTTTCTCTGGCCCACTCTAATGTCCTCTTACCCTCCCCACTCCACACCTCAACACACAGCACACAGCATCTACAAGATAGAGCCTTAAAGCTCCAAGCTTGATTACTTTTGTCTTCACCTTTAGCTCTACAATGCATGTCAAATTGTGTGTAGTCATAATTTTTGTTACTTGAGAATGAAGCTGAGTATAGAGTAGCCAGCTCTGCACTATTTAAGAGGACTATGGATAATTAGAAATAATGATTGTAAACTTTCATCTGAACCACAATAAAAAATAAATTTATTAAGAACTATGTAGCAAGCATCACTGTGTGATCATTTTACATATAATAAACCCCATACCTTTCCAACATACAGACTTTATAGCCAGATCCCATTGCATTTCATTCAACAGGGGCCAGTGATCACTAACAGGTTTCAAGCTAGGGAGTGACATAAGATAAAGAGCTTAGATAAATAAACCCCCTCCCCCCAGTACTGTGTCAAGCTTGGCCACCTGGTCTAGCTCAGCCAAGTAGGTAGCCTCCAGAGAGATGCGAGCATCCATGACAGAGAGGAACATTGAGGAGTCCCTGACTGAGCTTTACTTGAGCTTCAACTGTGCTCCATAATATTTCTATCTTCATCTAAGCCTACCCCAACCAAAGAGACTAGCTGGTCAGAAACCAAAATGAAGGGAAGAGGGAAATTGAACTAAAGATTAGGCACAGGAGAACCATCCATCTCCATCTGCTCATTGTTGGTCTGTGGCTCTGGGGATTCAGGTAACCGTATATGAGTCCTTTGGTGTTGTTTGAGATGGTCTGATCTCATGAACTGTCGGCCACACTGGACACATTTATGTGGTCGATATCTGGTATGGATCCGCATATGTCGTCCAAGCTCATCAGAACGGGCAAAGGTCCAGTGACATCCTTCCCAATTGCAACTATAGGGTCTTTCACCTAGAAGGGCAGGTGACACAGAAGAGAGGGGATTAAGTAAAGGAACATCCCAGCATAAGGGTAGGAAAGATCAGAGAAGACCTGAGGTCTGACTTTATGGGCCAGAGTAAATCTGGGGAGTCAAAAGAGAAGACATTAAAAACCCAGCCAGTAGTCAATACAATTAGCAGTGCCTCTCCCCTTCTTCATGGCAAGTTGATGAAACCAGTAAAGCTTGGTTCCAACCTTACACGATGAGAATGAATCACAAATGATCACAGACTAGTGGTCCAGCACAATGGCACTTCACCTCCCACCCCAGTTGCCCGATGTTTCATTCACCTGTGTGTTTCCGCTGGTGACTCACAAGATGGGAACGCTTGGTATAAGTTTTTCCACAGTTTTCAAAATGGCAGATGTAGGGCCTTAAAACTGGGGGTCTCCCCCTGGGTACTTCTTCCTGGGACCTGGAATCCTGTTCTGGCCTCTGTGGAGCAGGTAGAGGCTGTTCAGGCAGGAAGGGGTCTTCCTGAGTATCTGGATGGTTCATAAGAGAGCCCTGGGATCCTAAATCCAGCAATGGTGAAGATACAGATGGGCACATCCCAAGACTTAGGGGATTGCCGGGGGGCAACATCTCAGTCAAAGAGGGGTACTTTGTCTGGGTCCCAGTAGAAGATATACTTGGGGCCAGTAACATTGTATTGGTTAAAGAAGCTGTGTTAGAAGGTATAGTTGGGGGTCCAGAATAAGGTATTGATGGAGCCCTAATGTTGGACATTGGGTTTGCATTGGGAGTAGAGACTGGTGGCCTATTGAAGGGCATCCTTGGATTGCCACTGAAGGTCAAGGGAACCCTTGGAACATTAGGCTCTCCTGAGGGCATCATCTGGGAACCACTCGAAGCCATCGATTCTGACTGGGAGAAAGATACTCCCTGATAGTAAATCATCTGGGAAAGCATAAGAGCTTCTTGGGGACGGTAGTTCACACTATGCTCAGGCATTGACATATTGAACTGTGACCTCGCTTCACCCGCATTCTGCCTGGGTCCCTCAGTAGACACCAAAGGGGTTCTCGTCCGTTCTGTGCTCTGTGGAAAGTGTTGAATGCCTGGTGGGCCATGGTTCCAAGAATTGTACATTCCACTGCTTCCAGGAGATAGGGACATTGACTGATTGGTAACCTTGAAGAGAAAATTAGACATGAAACTGATGTTAGGTCAAATTCCAGTTCTACATGCCTCTGCTTGCCATCAGCAATGCTTTGCTTTTCATACAAAGCAAAAGAGAATATTCTACAACCTACATTTTCAGCAAAACCTACATAAAACTTTCAAATTCTAAACTTATATAGAAAGGAGATCTGGTAGTGTTGTGGTTACCAGTTGGGCTGCTAACCTCAAGGTCAGCAGTTCGAAACTACCAGCCATTCCATGGAAGAAAGATGAGGCTTTCTTCTCCTGTAAAGATTCACAGCCTTGGAAACTATACAGGGTCATTATGTACTGGAACCGATACCACAGCACATACCCACCATCACTACCATAAGCATATAGAAGAAAGGACACCCAAAACCAGCAGGATGGGTACAGGAAATCACAAATATAGGAAGAATGGAGTATTCAGAGGGGTCCCAGCTTTAGTGAAACATATACATTGCTTCATTACAATGACTGCAATCCCCTCCATGTACCATCAGTCAACAGTATTTACCTCTATTTACTTTAACTCTTGCTTTCCTCCCTATGTCTCCTGCTACCCTCCTCTTTTCTCTGCCAATATTGTTTCCTCTGCCAAACAACATTGCCTACGCTGTCACCCATATTAACTTGTTTCAACCGTTGAGCCTGTGAATGATTTTCCCTCCCTCAGCCCACTCTCTAGCTATCACTGACTCTTTATCAAGAAAACCTTTCTTAACTTTTTACAACATTGATCTCATATAATAGTTGTCCTTCCCTTAACACCTTGATCAAAGATTCCATAGAATAATCCTGACCAAAAGAGCAGAAATACAAAACAGAATTTCAGGGGAGAACAAACAAGATGGCGGATCAAGTGGAAGTGCAGTAAAGAGCTCCGCTGGCAACAACACAGGATACCCGACCAAGCAGACTCAGGGGGTGGTTCCAGAACTCTGAACCATATATAAAGTAATATTTAGAAGGTTGGAAGGCTTACAGCTAGGGAAATTTGTGGCAGAAGCAAGAAATACATTGCTTTCTAGTTTGGGACGTTCAGCTGCTCTAGGAGCTGCCATCTTGGGTGAGACCAAGCGGGGAAAGGATCAGAGCGGCCACAGACACCTGGCAGAACCACAGAGATAAAGGTGTGGACAATCTTTTCTTTTGGTATCTGTTCATTGGCCCCTGGCTCTCTGCGCACCTCCATTCCAGTGACTATAAGGGTGCCTGAGCTAGTGGACACCCCAGCCTCACCCTCGGAGGGTTCTATTACGCATGCACACAGATCTCCTCAAAATTTAAAGAGACAATTTCCAATTAAAACCAAACGGCCACAGCCGGCCCTGAACTGTTTCCAACTAGAAAAAAAGGCCTGAACGGGGATTGTGGAGTGGGACGAGCAGACAAAAAAGGTAATAGGCTGAAAATTAAATCCTAAGTTACATCAAAATGACCAACAGTGGCATTCTGAAACTTCTCAAGAAGAAGAGTGAAAAGGGAAGCACATTTCCTGATCACATCTACCTGGAGGCAATCAGAAAGCATAAAAAACACCAAAATACATACCCATCTAAGTATTAAGGCCACAGATAACCACTGAATATGCCCCCAAAATAGAAGCGGATGACCATATCTGCACATGTCCAGAAATGAGATAAAGTGACTGAGGCAAATGAGCTGGAAGGAGACCTACACTCCATACTGGAAGATGGGCAAGCTTTGGAAATTCCAGAGAAGAAATTCAGAAAAATGATTCTAAAATGTATCAAAATACTATACAATGGAGTTGAGAAAAATAAGGAAGAAGTCAGGAAAGTGTTACAGGAACAATCAAATAAGATAGATAAAGCATTGGAAACAATTCCAAACCTACAGAAAGAGGTCCAAACGATTAATAATAGAATATCAGAAATGGACAATACACTGAAAGGACAAAGGAGTAGAATTGAAGAGATAGAATCCAGAACTAGTGAGCTAGAAGATAAATCTCTCAACACTACTAATATAGAAGTACAAATACAAAATAGGATAAAAAAATCTGAAGAAGGCCTAAGATTCATGTTGGCTAACATGAAGAGGAATAAC